AAATTAAATTGGTCTTAAAGAAATTAAGTTTAATTATTGGATTTTGTCCCAAATTTTGTGGTACCAGAGAACATTTTGTCTTTGCAGACTTCAAGCAGGGTATTTTTCTGCTCGACCGCAATTCACATTTCTTGCAATTTAAGACTGCACTGCTCTTTTTAAATAAATTTATTCATGAACTAGAAACAGTGCTCCCCTCTTATACTACACCAAAATCAGAGATATTAAGATACTTGATAAAGCACCTTGAAAGCCTTTCTTCAGGTATTAAAAAGGGCAATTCTTAGGTTTAAGACTTGATCTTTCAGGTTAAGGAATCCTAGTATCTTGAAAGGGATCCAGTAATTTTTCAATAAAACCTTCCTGTGCTCAATGGAAATTTCACTGAATATTTTACTAGAATACCAAATTTGACCTTTGCTATGGTCTGAATGTTTATGTTCCCCCAAAATTCATATTTTGAAATCCTAACCCCAAAGGCGATGGCGTTAGGAGGTGGGGCGTTTGGAAGGTGATTAGGTCATGAGGGTGGAGCCCTCATGACTGGGATTCGTGCCCTCGTGAAAGAGGCCCAGGGGAGCTCATTCTCCCCTTCTTCCACCACGTGAGGACGCAGCAAGAGAATGCCATCTATGAGCCAAAAAGTAGGCCCTCATCAGACACTGAATCTGCCATCGCCTTGATCTTGGACTTCCCAACCTCCAGAACTGTGAGACATAAATTTCTGTTGCTTATAACCCACCCAGTTTATGGTACTTTTTTATAGTAGCCCAAATGGACTAACATTGCCTTGATGTTTTAGACTAAGCTAATTAGAACATCCAAAATTCTCAATTCCAGCTTTGGAAAATTCCTGGCTTATTTTCCAAGATCAGGTCTCTCTCTTTTACTTTGTGCAAACCTTAGGATAAATGTCAAGGCAGATGAGGCACTTCAGCAAATTTAGGGACAATGACTGTTTTTCCAAACCTTGGAAGAATGTTACAACACATCTGTTACACAGACTTGGGAATAAAAAGTATAAACTGACCACCTATACATTAAAACTGAACAAATCATGTAATGGGCAATCACTTACTGACAGTTATGGTGTAAATATAGTGCTAGTGTCACTTAATCACCTTCAGACATGCACAATTACAACAGATCTTATTTTCCTGGGGGCAAGAATGGATTTACGTTCCAGCATGCATACTTCCATCATTGCTCAATCACATGGTCACATAATTAAGTAGTTGTGTCTTTCTTCTCCAATACACTATAGAATATTTTTCAAAAGGTTGCCACAAACCACCAACATCAAATTTTCCTGGGGTGCCTGTTAAACATCCAGATTCCTAGACCCCACTTCTGATCTACTCTATCAGGAAATCTGTACATCTAACAAATTCCCTGAGTTTTTCTTGTGGATGCTAACATTTGAAAACCACTGGACAGAAACTGTTTTTCTCATTTTTGCTCCTCAGTGATAAACAAAGTTGGCAGCACCCAGTAAAAGCTTAACAAATGTTATTGAACAAATTAACAAATGGTATCACCAGCTTATCCTTGGGTTCTCCTGGGACATCTATAAAAATCATAAATATTAAACTTGCAATCCTGATCTCTGTTTCAGATACAGATCAACTGTTGTGTAATTGTCTACGTAAGTGTCAGTTGGCCAACTAAACTGGAAAATTTCTTACACTTTTATCAATTGTGTTTACCTAAAACCTAAAACAGTGTTAGGAGCTAGACATGTTAGGAGCTCAGTAAATAATGTGTTGGGTGGCTAGACAGATAGATGAATGGACATCTGACCACCCACTGCCTTAATAGGTTGTGCATACTTTTCACTTGCTGGCCCCTGATGTTTTACAATTTCTTAGCCTGTCTTAATTTTAACTGTGTTATGTGTTAGACATTGTACAATTATCTCATTTAGATAAGGATTGTTTCTGGCTCAAATGAGAATCATCCAAATTAAATAATTTTGAAACTATTTATCCTACCTCTTCCTTCCCTCCCCTTCCTCCAATATCCACATCACCTAGTAAATCCAAACACCTGTCTCCCCTAGGCCTCCACTAGTCTTCATCCTCAGTTTCAGGAGGAGGCAAGGCAAAAGTGAATTCACCATTACCAACAAAAATGAGAAGAGGCGTCAATACCATTTCTCCAAGTTTTACTTCAGAAAGAAGAGGCACCAACAGAGAATGCCTGGCAAGAATAAATGGCCAAGGGGGAATAGCAGGCTTACACCTCCAGCTGCGGCTTCACCGAATAAATGTTTCTAGTTTAGATCCTCTGGTCTCCAAGTCTCCCTGATTTTATTTTATAGGGAACACATTATGGAAGTCAGCCCTAAACAATTAAAATGTATAACAGATATAAACCAGTGCTTTTCCAACTTTAGTGTACGAACATGTTATCGAAGCTCTGTGAGCACGCAGTGGGTGGGAATCCCAGTGAATTCTAATCCAATACGTGTATTAATAAGGTCACAGGATACAAGGTCAATACATGAAAATTATTTACATCTCTATGTACTCACAATAAATAATTAGAAATTAAAATTTTAAAACAATACCATTTACAATAGCACTAATAACATTAAATAGTTAGGTTTAAATATAATAAAATACATATTGATTAAAGTAAATAAAATCTGAATAGGTCCCACTCAGTCCAGAGACTGGGGCTGCAGAGGAACTACCCTGGGACGAACTGCAAAGGTGCTCTTTGTTCACGCCGACATGTCTGTGGCCCGTGCCCTCCCTCAGCAGGCAGGGCTGGTCTCTAGAAATGCTTTGGGTTCATCCTTCATGGCTGCAAGGAACCTCCATGCCTCTCACATTCATCTTCAGAAGACTGGCACTGCTGAGATGTCCTCTATTCTTGAAGAGCATATCCTTGGAGCTGATATCTCTGCTGATCTTGATAAAACTAGGCATGTCTTAAGTAGAGGTGATGGTATTGCCCAAGGACATGGGCTGAGGAACATTCAAGCAGAAAAAATGGTAGAGTGGTCTTCAGGCTTAAAGAGTAGGTCTATGAACATGGAGTCTGACAATGTTGGTGTTGTCATGTTTGGAAATGATCAACTAACTACAATACTGTGAAGAGGACCAGAGCCAGGTGAGCCATGTAGTAGATGCCCTTGGTAATGCCACTGATGCAGAGGATCCAGTTGGTTCCAAGACCCATAGGTGAGTTGGCCTAAAAGCATGAGGAATCATTCCTTGAATTTCTGTGAGGGAATCGGCGAAGACCGGCATGAAGCCTGTGGCTAGCTTGGTGCCAATTGGTCGTGGTCAGTATGAGCTGATCACTACTGCCAGACACACTGAGAACACATTTCAATCATGGATCTGATGAAAAGAAGAGATTCTACCGAATCTGTGTTGCTGTTGGTCAAGAGAGATCCACTGTTGCCCAGTAGGTGAAGAGGCAGATGGCATGAAGTACACCATCGAGGTGTCAGCTGGGGCTCTGGATGCTGCCCCCCTGCAGCACTCAGCTCCTTATTCTGAACGTTCTATGGTAGAGTATTTTAGAGATAATGGCAAACTTGCTTTGGTCATCTACGATGACTTGCCCAAACAGGCTGCTGCTTACCATCAGATATCTCTGCTGCTCTACACACCCGTTGGTCACGAGGCCTGTCCCAGTGATGTGTTCTACCCACGTTCCCAGTTGCTGGAGAGAGCAGCCAAGATGAATGATGCTTCTGGTGGTGGCTCCTTGATTGCTCTTCCAGTCATAAAACACCGGCTGCTAACGTGTCTGATTACATTGCAATGAGTGTCATTTCCATCACTGATGGACAGATCTTGGAAACAGAATTGTTCTAGAAAGGTATCTGCCCCACCATTAACATTGGTTCATCTGTGTCCTGTGTCAGATCTGCTGCCCAAATCAGGGCTATGAAGCAGGTGGCAGGTACCATGAAGCTGGAATTGGCTCAGTATTGTTGCCGCTTTTGCCCAATTTTGTTCTCACCTTGATTCTGCCACTCCACGATGCTTCAGTTGTGGTGTGTGAGCTGACTGAGTTACTGAAGCAAGGGCAATAGTCTCCCATGGCTATTGAAAAACAAGTGGCTTACACCTATCAAGGTGAAAAGGGGTATTTTGATAAACTGGAGCCCAGCAAGATCACAAAGTTTGAGAATGCTTTCTCATGTCATGTTATCAGCCAACACCAAGCCCTGTTGGACAATATCAAGGCTGACAGAAAGCTCTCAGAAAAGTCGGATGAAAAGCTGAAAGGGATTGTAACAAACTTCTTGGCTGGATTTGAAGCTTAAACTCCTATGGATTTACATGAAATAGCAGTTTGGTTTTGTCATTTTTTTTCTCCTAGTAAATCAGTTCCATTTGTAAAAGGATTACTCTCATACTCCTGATGTACAGAAATCACGTTAAAAATAAAGGTTCCATATGGCATGATGAAAAAAAGAGTTAATCATATGAAGACATACACTGTGTTCATGGATTGGAAGTTTCAATATGTTAAAATATTGGTTCTCCCTACATTGGCCTACAGATTCAGTGCAGTCCCATTCAAAATCCCAGAAGTCTTTTTTGTAGAAAGTGACAAGCTGATTCTAAAATGTACATGAAAAAGCAAAGGAAGTAGGATAGCCAAAACAATTTTGAAAAAGAAGGTTAGAAACCTCACACTACCTGACTTCAAGTCTTAGTATAAAGTTACCATAATCAAAACAATGAAGAATAACTGCTGTAAATCACCTGAAGAAAATCAGGTGGTAAAAATTTCTGTTTCCAGAATGACTGAAATTAAAAAGACTAACCACATCAAGTGTTGGTGAAGATGTGGAGCAGCCAGAACAAACTGGTGTGTACCCAGAAAAATGAAAACATGTCCACAAAAAGACTTACACAAGCACGCTGACAGCAGACTTGTTCGTAACAGACCCACACTGGAAGCAGTAGATCCAAATGTCTATCAACGAGAGAACAGATTGAAAAGTGCAATATGCTCATACAATGGGAAAAGACTCGGTGATAAAAAGGAGCAAACTACTGATACACACAACATGATGGATACTTCTCAAAATCATCATCTTGAATGAAAGAACCAGAAACAGAAGAGTACATTTTGTATTTTTCCATGTATATGAAGTTCAGGAAAAGGCAGAACCAGTAACAGAAATCAGAACACTGGCTGCCTCTACAAAAGGCAGATATTGACC